AAAACCAGTGAGACCTTGAAACCCACACACCACAACTGGCTATAAAGTAAATATTTTCACAAATTCAGACACTAGGATCTTCTAAAAGTGCAGTTTTCCCTAGCACTAGAAGAGAACTTAAGGAAAAGTAAAATGACTGAAAGAGAAATTAATCCTGTGCTGCTCAAACCAGGACACACACGTATCTTCTTTCACTGGTGCTGAACTTTAGAGAACATTGTATCGGTATCTTCACTGGTTCCTCCAACATGTCATGCATATCTAGGAACAAAACCATGGATAAGGATGCCAATATTAAATATTTTTTCTGTATATTTTTTGAGAGATTCACTTCCTTTTGTTTCTGAAAATTATATGGAGGGTCTTGCCGTATAAACAGACAAAGGTCTGTCAGATGATCTGGGGTGGAGAGGGAGAGATGCGAGTATTTAATGTAACCTATCTTCTCCCAAGGCTTCTGTCATTGAAGAGAAGCTTTGTAACAGGAGATAAATTCTAAAGTTGTCCCCTATGCAAATGTTGTTCAGATACTACGTGATTAAAGTGTTTGGCCTAACTCTCCTGTCAGCTCCACGCTTGGCTGTTGATCTTTGCCAGTAGTAAGTGTTGGTTTGCTGCCCCCTTAACTCCCTTTTTTCTGGTCTCTGGGTAGATTTGCTGGGTCAAATGGATAGATATGTCTGCTGACTTCTAGAGGAAGCCATGAGCATCCTTTCTGTGAGAGATATCTCATTGAATGCAAACATAATCCTACAAAATCGTGTTTTTACCATTCTGTTTGTTGTTCTGTGTTCCCAATCTTCTTTTCAGGCCTTTTTCGTAAACCATGTTGTTTCAAAGTGCAGAGGACTCCTCAAAGAGTGCTTCTATCTGCAGAAGGAATCTTGGCTTCGGAGGGTTTAAGGAACTTCAGACACTTTTAAGGAACTGTGAAAATCTTTCACTGGAAGGGAGTTAACGTAATAAGATTTCCACTTATTTTAAGCCAGCCTTAATTTTAGTGTACATGTATCTCATGATATGCACAGTCTCATGAGATATAGTTTCACTGTTTTGCCCTTGAGAATGTTAGCTACAACCTCTGTTGGAAACTACGGTCTTTTGACTTCTAATTCAAATAAACAGATGCTTCTATGGAGCGCGATCTTAATGAGTTAGATGGTGACCTACTGGATGGTGAGCGTTCATCCCAGCACTATCATCCCAGTAGGTACGAAGGATTCTTCTGCAAAACTATGCTCTTTCTTCTTGAGTAAGTGCTGTCCTATGGAAGTCTTTGCAAAGCAGAGAACGGTCAGCGTGGCGGTCAGCAGGAGCCATAAGGAGGCTGTACAATAGCACGAACTCCAAAATTTTCCCTTTCCTGACCCTTGCCTTACCATCTTGACTGCAGAGTAGTCAAGAGTTGTCTGCTTTGAGATGGTCTTGTTCCTTCTCCAAAACTCCTGAGCTTAATGAGATCTGTTAAAAGGCTCCAGGCCTCTACACGAGCTTAAGAGGGTTCTGAAATAACACCTGTTGGAAAAAAGAAGATACTGTGCAGATGCTTAACTAGGCAGATAAGCCTCTAAGACAGGCTGTCATAGAAACTGCTGGCCTTCTGGAAGAGGGTAGTTAAAAGCTCCTTGGAAGAGGATATCCACATGCCTCATTTCTGGGATCTTTGCCTGTGGGCTTAATGTCTGTGAGCTGTGCAGGCTGCACACTCCTCCTTCATTTACCCACTAGCAGCAAAGCCTCTCAGGTTGAAAAAAAAGAGCATGGCCACATAATCGAGGAGTGATATGACATGATGATAAACCCCTAACCGTTCCTGTGCTCTTATAACAGTTCGTGTTTAGCAATAGCATGTCTTTTTAGTTTTGGCTATTGTATATTAAACAAATGAGTGTTTAGGTAATTACGGACAACTTTCATGTTTGCAATTTTTTTTTTATATTAAGATGAGATCTGCATGATATTAAAGCATTTTTTTCCAAATGCCTAGTTAAACATATGACCTTTGATTTTAAAAAGTAATTATCCAAAGCTTATTTAATATGGGCTCTCTTCTCTTTTCCCCTGTGGATGATTTGTATGTACTTTCATGTTTCCATTATAAAATTGCTGGAGGGATAGTGCTAGCAATGATTTATATGTCTGGTGCACATTGGTATTTTTGGTCCTTCTTCTAAAATAGATGGAGAAGTTTAAGCTGAATCTTATAAATCAGTGTGTGGTAAATGAAGTAGGGTTTTAAATAAGAGATTGTGGAAAAATGAGCTGAGCCTCCTTTTTCATAATCATAATCATTAAACTTGGCTATGTCAAAATAGTCTTGCATGCATTAGGAAAAAATAACTCAAGTATGTAGATCAGTGGTTATAAAATGTGTTGTTAAAATGGGTGGGTAAGGCACTGCATTTGAAATCTAAAGCATCTGGCTGTAAATCCAAACATGAGTAGAAGCCTTACTGTAGATGCCAGATGCTACCTCCAATTCACTCAGCTGTCAAGGGGTATATTAGTCCTTCAGGTCCAGAAAGCCCAAGCCGGTCAGCATGAAACTGCACCAATTGATCCCTCAGGTCTAAAATATTGCCTTGATTTTGGAGTTACCTCTCTCCCCCTTTGAGGGAAGAGGAAGGTGCAGATTGTTTTCTTTTGCCAGGAGTAGTGGAGTGCTGCTCAGGACAGCTGTAAATGAAGGTTTTAAGTCCTTTTGGTGTTCTGCTTTTAGGGTGCTTGTGTGTTGAGCAGGTTACCTCATGTAACATTAGGGAGTCTGTGAGCTGCTCCTTACCTGGCAGGACTAGAAAAAGAGCTGGGGATCATCAAGGCAGGAGGAAACCTGTTTCTGCTGCATTTGCTAACCATGTGAAGAGTCATCATGTAAGAGGAGTACCAGGAGAGAGATTGATTAGTTTGAATTCAGGAACGATGTGAGTTTCGGGCAGGTCAGAAAAAAGATATTTAGAAAATAAATGAAAACTGGTTTGGTTTTCTTTTGGGGTTTTTTTAGTGGTGCCAGAAAATACCCAGGACACTAATTGCTTAGTAATCTCACAATTAGACATAATAGTCCTGGTCATAAAATAAGAAAATCAGATCAACTAGTTAGTTAAAAAGAAAACACAATGTTTGTGATGGCTTGTAGCCATGACTCTCATTTATAGCTTGTATGTTCATACCAAATACTCTCTGTTAGGAAATAAAAGTTGTGTGGAATTAATTGTTGACTTCAGATTGATGCTTGGAATAAAACTGAGAGTACTATGAACTTAATTTACTGCTGCTGGTGCTCTAGTATTACCAGTGTCATAACTGAAATTCACAGCCAGACATTTTTTCTATTAAATTAAAGAATAAAAAGCAAAATAACTTTTGTTGTAATTAAAATATTTGTTATCCCACATGGAATAAGGATGAAGCAAGGTTCAGTCCTGCTGCAATTGTGACCTCTAGTGGAAAAAGGCAGTTTGTTTAGATAATAATAATGCATCGAGTTGCAAAGTAATTCACATAGTGTTGCAATATTCATTATGTCTAATGTCATAGCATTTCCAAGACTCATTAATGGTAAAATCCCTTCAAGGCACCATACTAGCCATATAAAAAAATTCAATTTCTTTCCAAGAATGCCTCTGATAAGTCTCTGCAGATTTTTATAAAAGCTAATTTTCATAGAAATATGGTCTCAGGCTTTCGGAAAGAAGCTTGGAAAAATACTGAGTTGCAGAAGCAGGTATTTCTTGGAGAAGGTTCCCTTATAAAAAGTCCTGTTGTTTTCCCACAACAGTATGTATTGTAGTCAAAGTATTATTTGTGTGCAAATCTGTTGAGACATTTTTAGATATCGGCTCTGAAAGACATTATAAGGAAAGATTTATCATGCCATTAACAAGCAGGCAAGATGATTTGTAAAATATAATCTAGGAAAACAGTCTGAACACAAAGTACATAATACAGCAAACGAGAAGTGCATATGGTATTTTTCGTATTTGGATGAACACAAAGCTATTTATAATCTTAAATAATCAAGATATGTAGGCTACAGACAGGAGAGTCTCTTCCATCAGCAGAGGCAGCGTGTGCACTGCCAGCAAGACTGCGGTCTTGTGTCCTCTGGCCTGAGCTGCCCCTGGCTAGGTTTCCAAGCAGGACTCCAAGACTGGTTTCAGTTAGGCTGCTCCAAAGGAGCCTCATTCAGGGTATGTGTTCCCCTTCCTCCTGTGAAAATCTCAAGGTCTTGATTGTCAAAACAAAAAGATGTTGAACAAAAGTGGGAGGAGTGGCATTTCTTATTTTTGCATACAACGTAAGTGGAAATGTAGCCTTTTTCAACCCTCTGTAGTCAGTCAGTGGAGTGGGTTTTACTTTCTTTAATTTTTAAATAATTGGACATTGTCGTATTTTTCACTGAATAGATTTCTGTACACTTGTATTTCCAGCTTTTGCAAACCAGAAAACAACTATTTGATACAGACAGCAGTTTGCTTACCTTTGAAATAGTTTTAACTTTTGGCTAATAGCAGCAAAAAAGGTGTAATGTGTACTTGTGGGGTCTTTTTTGTTTTATTTTGGGTTTTTTTTACAGTTTGAGCATGAAAGATTGTACATGATTATTCACAGCTAAGCTCAGTTACTTGGCAAAAATCCTATCAACTGGAATATTTATCAGATGTTCTCGATCCCCTGCTTGTTATAATATTCTGCACGGTTTATGAAAACCAGCATTGACAGGTCCTGAAACGTTGGAGGGCTATCCTGGCACATCCATAGCACCTGACGAATTGAACAGTGATATTCCAAAAGCTCCAAAGAGCTGTCATCCACCCCAGCTGGGAGTTTGGAAACTGTGCCTTGGGGCTTTAATGATCAGCTTTGAAGTGTAGCAGGGAAAAGGGAAGCCTTCCCTAGAGATTTGCAGCATCTAGTTAGGATGCTATGTAGTGATAAGTAATAGGGAAGAGAGGTTTGTATGCTGGGACTGATTGAAGTCTTTTTCTTCTTATTTTCAGGGTATGAACATAATCTTCCACGTAGCCTTGGCTCTCTTAAAGGTAAGTCATTGATTAGAAGGTGGTTGGTTTTTTTTTAATTTTATTAAACTCTATGGAATATTTTCTTAGCTTAAGGAATCATGACTAAGGGAACAATAATACTGGGACTTCTGGAGGAGGGAACAGAGGAGAAATATCATCCATTTGGGTAGAGATGTCTTCAAAATTGTATTTATGGTAGATCTGTTTTTATTAAACTTAATCATGTCATAAAGTTCCTGGAACAAGGAGTACAGTCTCAGGATTTAAATGTCTCGTATAATTACTATTAGGATAACAATTCTGATTCATTTCACAGCGTGTTTATTTTGTGGCTGGGTTCTTTCATATAAATATTCAAGAAACGTGATTGAATCTTATTTGATATCAAATGTATTTCTAACGTCAAGAGAAGAATGGAAGTCTTTTATAATAAGGGGGACTTCTATCTTTGACTCGGACACAGAATTTACCTAAACAAACAAACAAGCAAGTAAACATGTAGGTAAAGCACTGGCCCTTTTGATGCCAGTCAGATAGCTCAAACTTAACTTACGTTGACCTTCACAAGTTGCCTCTACTTCAAATCCAGTCCACATACAGGCATGTGGTATGGAATTTGAAGTGCCACCTTTGAATTCAAATTATATTCCCATCAAATAATTTAGGCTAAAGCTCAGGATAGAATAGCCTGTCAGTCCTAACACAACCACCCCATAACGTGGACACAGACTAGTTTCATTTGACTGTTGCGAGCCCTTCAGTGCATTTTCCTTATCATTTACCTAGAAAGGGCAAACAGCTACTAGTTGAGTTAGTCAGTGAACAGTAATGATCAGAGATTCAGCTTTGGTGGCACGAAGTCCTACTGCAAAAGTGCTCCACACCAGAACATATATATGCTTTTGCTGTGAACAGAGCAATTGGAAATTTCAAAACATATATTTTCACTTGAGGTAGGGTAACTTCAGTGAAGTATTGCAGTGTAGGTGTGAGATACTATGCGCATTGTGGTAAGGAAATGTCCAAAATAACTTGTGGTTTACACTAACACAGTTAATGTGTCAAATGGTGTTGTGACTTTCTACATGAGTGGAAATGTATTAAATGAAGTCACCTATAAACAGGAAATTTGTTTAATGTACGTTTCCAGGGAAGTGCTCCTACACAAATCTAAATTTGTAAAAAGGGGGGAGGGAAGTGTGTGCTCTTTTCTTCCCGTTTCGTATTTTATTTGCAACTATGTGGGCTTGTTAATTTTCTGTTTTTTTAAGGCCAGTATGGATAAAGGGAAATCTTGTAGGTTATAGTAAAGTAAACGGCATCCTGGCTTGTATTAGAAGTAGCGTGGCCAGCAGAAGTAGGGAGGTGATTGTGCCCCTGTACTCAGCACTGGTGAGGCCACACCTCGGGTATTGTGTCCTCAATACAAGAGAGATATCAAGGTGCTGGAGTGAGTGCAGAGGAGGGCAACGAAGCTGGTGAAGTGCCTAGTAAACAAATCATATAAAGAGTGGTTGAAGGAGCTGGGACTGTTCAGTTTGATGAGGAGGTGGCTGAGGGGAGATCTCATCACTCTCTACAACTATTTGAAAGGACACTGTAGAGAGGTTGGTGCTGGTCTCTTCTCACAGGCAATTAATGACAGGAAGAGGAGGAATGGCTTCAGGCTCCAACAGGGTAGATTTAGACTGAACATTAGGAAAGAATTTTTCACAGTTGGTCATTGGAATAGGCTGCCCAGGGAGGTGGTTGAGTCACCATCCCTGGATGTGTTTAAGAGCCATTTAGATGCGGTGTTGGGGGATATGGTGTAGGGGAGAACTTTGTAGAGTAGGGTAGATGGTTGGACTCGATGATCCCAAGGGTCTCTTCCAACCTAGACAATTCTATGATTCTATGATTCTATGAATGCTAGCATCCAAGCAACACCCAACAGGTTTGCTGCCATGGCAGCAGGAGCAGGTTCTGGAAAGAGGTAGAGATACCATCTTATGGATCTTAACATTGAAGAAGAAAGAAAAGGAGGAATACTTGCACGGAGCTGAAAATGGCTGGAAAGGTTTTCAGGAGAGGAGAACTTAGTTCAATTTGGTTATGAAGGATGGCTTTGAGACCATGGGTATACACCCAGCGGTCTGTTTTCCTCAGCTTTCCCGCTCCTGCTAATGAGAATGGTTGAACTGAGGTTAGCAGCAGAACAACTGTTTAGAAAATGTGATAGGGGTTGGAAAGGACTAAAATCCTTCATCCATGGGTGTCATACTGCAAATAAGGTGGGGTTTTTATTGTCTGTGTGTTGAATGATAAACCCCATTTCTTTTGGCAGAACATGCTCAGTCTTTTCATTTTTCATATATTCCACAACATGCTGCTTATCCAATTGAACATTCCTCTTTGGCTGTTCTCAAGAAAGTACTTTCTCAGTCTTCTTATAACTATTTTCTAAGTTTAATAGGTTTAAGAGTTGGTTTTAATTCTGCTTATAGCAGTTCTTATAAATATGTATATATGCAATATGCTGTATCTGCCTTTTCTGACAGTAATAGGCTCTAAATGGTAAGGGAGGTGTTATCCGGAGAAAATATTTCTATATTGCAGCCAAAAACAAGTACCAAGAAAATACAGGTAAGTATGATAAGATTCTAAGTCAGAAATACTCACATAAGAGCGCAGTTCCATAGTGGTTCCAAGATGAAGCTGGTGATTATATACAATTGAATTAGCATATGATTTGCTTTCAGCAGGTATTGCTGTTCTGTTAGAAAAGAAAATAATTTTGTACTCTGAGACCTGAAGTATTTTTTTTCCCTATTCAAACCTGTTCATAATCTCTTCTAATCATTAGAAACAAAGTGGTTTTAGTGTACTGGTCTTTTTAAGTTACAGAAATGGAATGTATATGCTGCAGAACAACCACCTTAAAAACTGTGTGTTTCTAAGGTCTTGTTTGTCTCTGATTCTGAAGCAAATGAAAACAATTCCTAAGAATTTGTCCTTTGTTAAAACAGAGCAATTATTCTCTTACCCACAATCTTTTGGATTATTTTTAATTTGGATGAGGGAATCCTTCATCAGTGGAGTATTTGAGTCTTTACTGTGTAAATGCCTTTTTCTTTGTGAAGTGTGTGCCTCAATCCCTCATTAACTAGCAACAGAATAGCTTTTATCTTGAACTCCCTTTTAGTCAATGCAGTTTCTCACTGTTACAACCAGCTGCTAGTATTCAAAGTGAACGCTTGTTAGTTTTGAAATGACAGTACTACTTCTGTGACCAATTACCCAAGATATCCTGATGCAGTAATCTTTGGAAAATAAACATGTATTTAAGACATGAGGGGAATCCTTTCCCTTTCCTTCTCCCACATTCTGAGTACGATTGTAGCGATGAACAGCTACAGAATTAAAGCTCTTTAGCTATGGAGGCTGTAATTTGTAATAGGGCATTAATCTGATTTCTTATTGAAGGAAGAGCACAGTCTTTTTTTTCTGTAGCATCCAAATGTTATGCTTTCTAATGCATGCCACTGCTTTTCATATACCTCACAGTATGCTCATCTGTCAGGCTCTCCAGCTGGTGGCAGTATTTTACAGTTTGACATTAATCATTTAGTTTACGTCATGTACACTGCACCTGAATTAACATTTAGTAAGCAGAGATGATAGAAAATCAAATCCCTCTCCTCTCGTTTTCTGAGCATCAGAAAATATAGTGAAGCACTGGGGTGTGAAAAGAAACCCAGTGTTGAAAAAGGCAGCGTAGAAAACTGTGGTTTAGAACAACTCAACAAACAACATTGGTATTTTAATTTGAAAAATCCCAATTAAGGCCATTAATTGAGAATGACAGAGGAAAATGCACCATTCCAGTGCCAGCATACTGTCAGATCCCTTTTGTCATCAACTAGTTAGTTTCTTTGTTGGAATTACAAAGTAAGCATGAAAATCTTCACATATGCGAAGAAAAGAAAAAAAAAAACCCGAGCAATAAGCTTTGTTTCATATTTGGATACTTCAGTAATTATTTTCTTAATCTTCTGTTTCTGATCTTGCTACCTTAACAAAAACAACTAAAGGCATGCTTTATTTTGGAATTGGCAAAATCAGGCAAGTATTAAAATGCATGATTGTGGAGAATACAGGCTCTGGATTAAGTTGCTAACTAATGAAAAGGCAGGGAAGAGTACACATTAACTGGATATGCAAGGATGAACCACAGAGTTTTAAAGTAGGTCCACATCCAAACTTTCTGTTTGAGGGTTTGTCTGCTCATAGAGTGTGATTCATAACGGCAACCTCATTCATTGAGGTCAACACTTTGGTTGTTGAGCTTTGATCTGGGTGACCATTAAAAATGTCGCTTAATGCCAGAGGAAAGCCATAGTTTTGATCAGGAAGGTGTATCATACTCAGATTGAAATGGGTAGAAAATAGTGAGAAACAGTAATATATTTGTTACTGCTTGTATTTCCCAGCCAGTGCATTATTACCTTACAGACATTCACTTCAGTGCATATATTATCTTAAAAATAGTACTTACATATATTGTTCCTTGAAATCAAGCGACTGTGAGCAGCATTTCTGATGGTGGTTATGAGTTCTTACATTCTTTGTTGCTGCAGTTACCAAGTGATAACTCTGTATTATGCAAACAAGACAGTTGTATTTCTTGGTGATTTCTGTTGCCACCTTTCAGTCTCAATGCTGCTTGTGACGGTCTGTGCCCAACAGATTAGGGAGAATAATACCAGGTACAATGGCAGGAACAGCAGATGATGCTATTAATTCAAGTAGTTGATACAGAGGCTCCCTAGATATTTTTTTTTAAAAAAAAAAAAAAAAAAAAAGTGTCAAAATTACCTTGAATAAGGAGGGTTATTTGTTGCCTTTATATCATTCTGTATCTGGACTGAAAAGGACCTCCTGGGCCAAAGAAATGCTTCTCTGCTATATTATGCCATTATGTGACGTGGCATCCATTTCATAAATGAGTAACAGCAGTAATATTGCTGGTGGAAGGC